TGCAGACATCCTGGCACCCAGTTTATTGGGTGAGGGGACTGTGACGATTTGTTAATCTAATGAATAACTGATATGTTAAATCACATGAAAAATTGTGTTTTTGATTGGTCCAGACGCTACACTGACAAAAGTTGCCATCCTTTTTGTCATTGTTTTGCTCTCATTGAAGGATCTGGACCTAGTTCCTATAATGCTGTTGTCCTACACTTCCTCTTCAGGCACTTTATCCATCTCCTCAGCTCTCACCCAGAAAGAATGGAGAGAAGGAGGTTGCTATGGCAACAGAGAGCCCACAGGGAAGCTAAGCACAAATAGTGTTGCAGGGTTGAGATTCCCGCTTCAGATGATGTGGAGAATTGTGCTTCAGAAGCTATAGATATTATCTTTCTTTTCAAATTTGCATCATATTTCATTAAATAAGATGTATAGCATCTCCTGCTTGGCCATTGATATGACGGCATTCTGTTGTCAAGCCTGTGTAATGGAACATTAGATAGTGAGTGTATTTCGGAAACTCTCTGAGTCTGCACATTTACACCTGCATAAAGGATAAATTGGCACGTCATCACAATGTATTCTCAGGTGTTGGCAAAAATATATATTTTAGGGTACGTAGACGTACCTTTCATCATTAGATATGCACAGGTCTGCCACACAAATAAGGAATTCTGTCAGGCCTGATTTTGTGAATAGAAAATATTGCTTTTAATCAGAAAAAAATTAACAAAAGAAGATTTTCCTTTTGAAGTTATTAGCAAAATAAAATAAAGTGGTATTCCTAGGGCAGATAAACAACAATGCACCTTTGGCACAAAGACAGCACATCCGTTTAAGTGAAAATGACACCACTGTTCCTATTGTAGGAATATTGCAAGAGCAAACAGTCACAACCATGTGACACACAAGGACCAATGGCGTTTGACATCAGTGAAATCAGGCTGAGGAATAAGCTTTATTCAAGACAGAAAGCACGGAGTAATTCTTCCCAAGTGTTTTTGACTGAGCTGAAACATTTTGGAAAATAAAAGATCATTTTAGTTTCACACTGGGTGCTGAGTGCATTTTTCCTACCTTCTGATTTTTCCTCTTTATTATGAGTTGTGAAATTGAGTTGTTATGACTGTAATGTCTCTTTACAAACAATCTGTTTTATGTGATATTTTCGGAAGGAAATGGTGGGGAATGAAGACAGCCATTTTGGAATAGCAGTAAAGAGCCTCGGGGGGCCTTTATTTTTGAAACAAAGTATTTTCAGAGGGAAGTCGTGTCCAGACACACCTGCGGGTCCAGAAAGTGCTGTAAAAGATACAGTATGTGTGCAGGGAGAGAGGAAAGTCCATGAGCAATACTCAGTGGTCATCATCAATAACAAAAACGCTCATGTTTTGCTGTTGAATGACTGTGGTTTAAGGTTATGACCCTTTAATGTGTGTGCTCATGTTTTTATTGAGGAAATAAGTCATCTAACACACAGTGCAACTGATTGATATGTGTTTGTGTGCATCTCTGTCACACCTTTCACTCTTGTGGATGTTACTGTTTAGGCACATGCTAAACATTTTCACCCACATGTGTAGGTTTTTACCCTGAATAACGAAAAAAAGAGTGATTAGTAGAAGTTATTATGGTTTGGGTAGAAAGTTAACCTTTAAATGCATTGATGTTTCACCAATCATTATTACTGTTGCAATAGCATAAAACTCTCTTGATATTTTAATAACAATTACAAAAGAATAAAATAAAGCATATTTGGTTACCTTTTGAAGCTTAGAAGGGTTCAATTTGAGCAGATGATTTTACCATCACTGTCCCTGACTGTCATCGTCAAAGCGCACTTGCCCAGTACATTCAGCATCTGCCTCATATTCGCGATCTCAACCATATTCTCAAAATTATCATTTTCAGGGACTTCAAATTCAATATTTTGATCACTGGCAGCTTATTCACCACATCCACCATCAAATGACAGTGACAGTTATATTTCATTGCGTACAGTAATTGCTCTGCAGTAAAGCCATTCAAGCCAGTTCAGTTTTTGCTGATGGTATTCTTTTGTTTTATGCCTGCCGTAATTATGAGTGAAACATCACGTCATCGTTGTCTAGCAAAAAGTGCCACCTTGAGGAATAAAGGTGAATTGCATTTACTGAGTCATCAGATATTTAATTATTGTTGTGCAGGAAAAATATACTTACACTATTACATACCTCGGGTCGCTAGCGACCCTATACACTTTTTACAAAAAATTCAACAGAAAACTGACATTCTTTTATATTTTTTTTCTTGTTATATTGTTTATAATGAATAACTTGAGGAATACTAAGAATGTTGATGTATAACTTTAAAAAATGAAGGAGGGAAAGGGTAGTGAATTACGTCCTGGGTCGCTAAAGACCCGAGGTATGCATTTAAGGGTTAAAGCTTTATGTAAGGCCTAAGAAACTCCCTTTTGACCCTGATTTCTGTTGGCTTTAAAGGGGTGGTTGACTGGGTTTTTTCTAGGCTTGATTGTGTTTATGGGGTGCAGTCTAACATGTGTTAATGCTTCGTTTTCTGATTGGTTAGCTAGCCCAGTGTGTTGTGATTGGCTAAACCGCCTCTAGCGTGAGTCTAAACGTCCCGCCCCTCCACATAGCGGCATGTGCTCGGGTTGTATTGTAAACAATGACGCTTTAGGCATTAAACTGCCAGAATACTTTGCAGATATTGTTTATGATCAAACAGCAACATTACACACTAACTAACATTAAAAAAGTGAAATCGCAATCAACCACCCCATTAAACTTTTCTGTACTTTCACACAAAAATGTCATCATTTTTTCCATGTCATTTCAACATAACTTTTGTTTCTTCTGTGAAGTGAGATCTTAACAGTGTCTAAAGCTCCAAAAAGGGGAAAATGCACCATAAAAGTATCCTGAATTAAACATTTTACCTATATTTCCCAGAATGAAATATAGAATTAGACCTTTTACACACGTCAACCCCAATAACAGGGCATTTTGTCACACTACATAGGGAAAAACTATCACACAATATACCATTAAACAGCCTATTATAGGCTTTTCAATAGAATTTGAAACAATAATAAAGCAGAAAAGTATAACAAATAATTATACTCAGTGACACCATTGTCCTGAGAACACAGAACAACCTTTTGTTTACTACAGTACATTGAATGTATAGTGTGGATTATTTACTTGTTTCCCCAACAGAAATTACAAAAATATGTGTATCTTCTCCCTGTATGACCCAATCTATTTAACTTATTAATCATCTTAATAATCACTAAATACTTTATTATGTGAAGAGCAGGAGTGTTTGAATGGAAATTGTACCGTGTAGTGGTAATAGTCACTTGGATTAGCCTAATTATGATCAGCTCCCTTAGAATCGATATATTATCATGGGTCTGAATTCTTTTAATTGCTCCTCTGAAAAAACGTCACTTTCTTTTTCTCCAACAATAATCTGCTTGCTCATAATTGAGGATCACTGCCAATTTTTGGATATGTATGCTGAGCAGGATAACAAATACTTTTGATGAAAGTGTACAGCACTGCTTTGCTAGTTCTATATTATTATTATCTCATCAATATCGCTAAGATATTTAGTGTTTCATATAAAGAATTCCTCATATAAGGAATGGTTTGCTTATTTTGAATGGTTTGATCAGTTTATTACTCGCTAAAATCACTTTCTTGTTCAATTTTACAACCATTATACCATTTTTCCGGCCATGGAGGTTAGCTGTATTGTAACTTTAGGAGCCTTGATTCCACAGTAATATAAATGAAATAATATGAAAGGATGTAAAAAGATCATTAATATCCCTGTTCCTGGTGGATAAACTGATACATTAATATTCTTCCCCCCTTTTTTTTCATGGTTTCTCTTGCGTTTGACTAAACTGGCATATTTAGTGTCATTTTATTGATATGTTCTGTTCTACTGCATTCAAAAGAATGTCTGTTAGGTAAAATAAGGTGAAAGAATAAAGAGACAAATCTCTGGGTGTGTAGCAGGTACATTTCACTGTCACTTCAGAGTGTTCACTTCAGTTAGCTGATTTGACAGCCTTATGAAACGGAGAAGACTCTGCTAGCAGCGTATTTAAAACACATAAAGCTTCTCGCTGAGGTGCTATGCCAAGATCCTGATCTAAGCACTAAAGGGCCCCAGAAGATAGAGATGAGCTGTGCAGATCTTTAATGAAGTAGTCACTACTTGAGTATCCCTGTGGGGATTTTTATGAAACAAACAAAAAAACAAAACAAAAAAAAAATGCTAATTAGCCCAGTGTTGAGGTTGTCAGCATTGTACTACTTAAGCCTGCTTGGCTTACAGATATATAAAGTATTTACATCTGAGCGTTAGAAAGGTGTATGTTAGGCGCTGCATTTGCATAGTGGATGCCTAAAGCATATTCAAGACTGATGCTTAGTTTAGAAGCTACATTTTCTTTTTATTTAGAAGCTACACTTTCTTTTATTTTTGGTTGATATTTGTCTGGTATTTGAACAGTGAAGCATATTTTTCGATTTGTTGAGAGATATCAAAGAGATACTTCTCTCTTAGAGATAGTGTTTATATGGAATAATATATAGAAAAATATGTAGAAAATGATCCTTGAAAGTTATCTCAGAAATAACCACTGTGATATCATGCCAATCATGAGTAAAATAAAAAGTGAAATAAAAGTGGCCAGTCATATTCTTTTCTTAGCCAATCACAAGGCTTTTGAGGCAGTTTTTGCATGTCAGTATTATGCACGTTCACATCATACAGGCGATATGGGAAGCTGGAAGCTGAAAGCGACTTGAACATGGAGCAATTTTCTTGGAAGGATGCAAAAATGTTCGTGATTTTTCATCTGCCAACAACGGATTACACAGACAAATGTCCTAAAAGTAGGCTAATGGGAAGACAGACGAAAATAAACAGACCAAACTGCCGCTTGACCAAAAACGACGCAAGTGAGCATGTTAAGCTTTTCATCGCTGAACGAAGCTGAGAGCATCATGAGCGTGATACAGGTTGCTTTCCTTCTGCTTGTAAGGTAAAAATATAATGGTGAGCCACCGAAGTGGAGAGGTTGTATCCGAAGTCTTGCTGAAGTCCAGAACCACTAGCATTACTTACAATTTAATTTAAAAATGACAGTAGCCTACACATGCTAAACATGGTCATTATCATCTAAGAATGGCGACTACAAAGTTTTGTGGCTGATAACAAATTACAAGAGTTTTAATGGTGTATTAATTTGTTAGGCCTATATATTTTGGTTTATATAGTTATCATGGTAAAGTTTTGCAATGGAGGACACATTCCTCCATCTTAAAAATAAATAAATAAACACAATGAGCAGATGGGCGGAATAGTGTCGTTTACCTGCCAGAGTCACGTCAAACCGGGTTTCCTCTCTTTCTCTGCTTCTCTCTCTCCTCCGCACGTTCTCTCTCTCTTTCAGACCACTCCTCTCTCCTCTCTTTCGATCACCCCCACTGATGATCCTCCTCTCCGGTACCGGGGACAGAGTCTCGCGCTGCGCTCGTGGGAGCCTGAGGGACTGGATCCGCTGTTTTACTGCGCCGGATTTTGATCCATCAAACAGAAATAAGGGACAAGATGGATAGAATACAAGAAGAAACGCGCGGGCCGTAGCTACAGACTCTATCCCGTCACGACATGTCACTTGTCATGACAGAGCCGTCTATGAGCTTCACTGAATATGCGTAACGAGAGAAGCAGATACGATTTAATCGTTGGCAGTGAACTTGAATTTCCATTCCTCCACATTAATGGGAGGACATGGCTCAACACACATATTCCTAAATGCTTTGGAACATAATTCTTCTTTTGCGTCATCTCAGTAAGACATCAGTAGAGCAGTTTGTCAGTGCACAGCGCATTATGACCGTTCAGTGCTGCATTGATGCAAGGGAAACGCTGGAGCGGAGGACAGACCGAACCGTCGTGTGATGTGACTCGTGTCTCGGCACCAGATCAGTCCTGGGATTACTGCTGGAGTACCAAACAATCTGTAGAAATAGTCTAATGGACAATTACTCAACGCTTCAGTGTAAGTAACCATACCAAGTCGTTTTATTGCTAATATTGAAATGGTGGTGTAACTGGTAGCTAGTATATTCAGATGCATGAGATCAAGCACTTAGGGTACAACAATCTAAAGGCCCCCGTATAAATGTGTTGGTTGCTGCTTACAAAGTGAACATAGATTGAAAAAATTAATTAATTAATTAATTTAAAAATAAATAAATATTTTTATTGAATATTAATAGAGCAACACAATTAGTTTTAAATAAATTAATAGAAAGCTGTTTTGATTATTATGGGGTAAACGTCCCTCAAACACCCTTTTAAAATAAATAAAAATATGTCAAATTAAAAAGATATACAATTTATTTATTTAAAAAAGGTGATGAGGCCCCAGGGTCCAGGAGGGGCTGAAATACTGTACTTTTGAGAACAAATTCAAAATAAGCGTTTCATTTTATATTTCATAAATTGTATAACAAATCTATTTTCCCCACTTATGAAAAATGCAATTTGTTGCATTCAGGCATTCTGCATCTTCCACCACTTCCAAACTATCAGTCATTTTAGTGACGTTTTACCCCCTTTTCAGGGATTCTCACATGCAAAATGTTAAAAAAAAAATTAAATCTTATATCATAAACTAGTTAACATTTGAATTTTGCAGATATTGTCAAATTCAGTCTTTTGTCATTGTACGCAGTGACCTTAGAACGGTGTTGCAGTGCATAGTGACAAACAGGTGTTTAAGTGCTGCGGTGGTGTCAGTTGGTATTTAGTGTTTTGAGAGACAATAAATTCAAAACTGCCTCTTACTTTGCTTTTTAAACTGTTTTGCCTGACTGCCCTTACAGTATAACCCCTCTAAAATGTTCTACAGATTCACTGCAGCTTTACTTGTACAGGTTAAGTTAGTTTTGTAAATATGATACCTAGTAGCATCTCATCATGACTCAGTAGTCTGGTATTTAGTCAAATGATTTACAGCTTGACATGTAGTCAAGGGATTTCTCACCGTCTTTATATTTCTTTATTCAGCATAATACAGAAAAGTGCTGTGAAAACGTGTGGATATGACATTCTTCCATAATATTCTATATTGTACCTTCTGATACTGTACAAAAAATGTGATGTCACATCCCAAAATTGCATTACTCTTCTTCATATGATCACTGCATTAAATCATCATACTGTGACCTCATTAAAGGGGATATAACTCACACAGTTTCTGCCAATCTCATGTTAATCTCGATTACCTATAGAGTAGTATTGCATCCTTCACATCTCCGAAGAGTCTTTAGTTTTATCAGATTTATAAAAGACAGATACAGCTGTACCGCTTCTCTCTGAAAACAGTCGAGCTCCTGGAGGCGTGCCGTGGGCGGAGCTAAAGAGTCACGCGCACGCGAAGCTTTTGCGTAGTGATTGTCTGCAAGTTGTGACATCAACAAAAATAAAACAGGAACAAAAACGTTATTGACTTAAATTTAATCTAATTATAAATCATTCGTCACAGAAATCCCGGGAACAAACAAACACACTTGCACAACTTTGCTTCCCTGGAGAAACAAACTGCATCCACTGTTCCCTTACCGCTGGGTTCTTTGGGAAGCTGAACAAGGTTATCTTTCCTTCACAACCAAAAACACATTTCTTTAGGTGACTGTTGATTTTGTGGTCAAAAACAAAATGTAAAGTCCTTCTCGGGCAAGTCCTGTGCAGCACTGCCGATGACTTCCGTAACCCGAATGAAGCACGTTGATGGGTGTACTCTTGCTTTCGCTCTGGTTTACATGTGCGCGCGATCTTCCGGGAGAAGTGCCCAGACAAGGAATGCCACCCTTTATGACGTCATACAGGGCCATTCTCTAAAAAAAACTTTCCGAAAATTATACGAACCCTGAAGGAGTGTATTTGGCACAGAAATACTCCGTCAAACGTCCAACTCTTTTTTGAAACTTTGGCCATGTTCAGCATGAGAATGCAACTCTTTAACAGTGTAAATAAGTCAGAATGCATGAAATAGTATTAGACCTCCCCTTTAACCCATCCAGTTAATCTGTATCTTAATTTAGCTAAACCAGGAACTAAAAGTTAAACCAGCTGACTAAAACCACCTATTTATTCTCGTATGCCATCCTGCATGTAATTTCCCTTATTGCCACAATTTACACTCCAATTATGTTAATGGTTGAGACTTTCTGTGAATATCTTAGAGGGTCTAATGTTACTGAGAATACTGGAAGAACAAAATGTCTTTCGCAAAGCTCCAGAAGTTTTAAAGTAATCGTTCTTAATGTAGGGTGACCATACGTGCCATTTTCCCAGGACGCGTCCTGACTGTATATATATATATATATATATATATATATATATATATAATAAAAGATAAAAGATGATTTCTAAGATTTTCAAGCAAGATGCCTTCAGTGCAGCTATCTTCTAAAGACAAATAGTCAGCAGAATAGGATCAGCTTGTGCTGCAGCTGGGTTTATGTGTCTGAATTCGGCTTTGTACCTCCTATGGTATGTCTTATGTGAATAGATCTCAATTGTTGCTATTGTGACAGGACTTTGCAAAAAAAGAACACGATTTCAAACATTCTGTTAGTTGTTGTAAAGATTGTGCCAATCATAAACTGTGTTGTCATTAAAAAACAGTCAAGTAGTAACATTATTTGACATGTCAAAGTCACATTTTGGATGATCTCAATTTTTTTTTCAAAATCCATGAAATTAGAATTTTAAGTGTTAACTCAGAATGATCAAGTACAAAATTGAGGCTGGGGGGAATACTCACAAGCCCCTGTGCTTGAATAATTGAATTATGTATGCTTGATCAAAGCATGGTAGCTTATGGGGACATGCAGAAGTTGTTCTTCAGCAAGCATGAAAACAGGAAAACAAAGCCAAAACAAATCCTGGCCAGGACGCGTCCTGGGAAAATGGCACGTATGCTCACCCTACTTAATGCACACTGTGCTATTTGCAACTTTTTTACATTTTTAGTGGGAATATGTCACAAAACACTCATTGTTAAGAGTTATTTTATTAGTTAACCTTGGCAATAATGTTATGTCCATCATCCTGCACTTCTGTATGCCGCAGATAAGGTGCTGGACAGGTGTAAGCAGATTAGGGGTCGCAGTGCCTCATTCTGCCAGAGAAATAGGACCATAGCAGACATGACGGCTGAACAAAAGCTGAGTGGCATGGCCGGTGGAGAGATGTTTGTATGATGGGCCTTGTGGCTGTCAGGAGATAAATAGCCCTTTGCTAGCAGGGGAGGGAGTTGGAAGGCTTGCTGGATCTGTTCCAGGAGCTTGGAGAGAGCAGGGGGGAACGGAGGCTGTCGCCAAGAGCACTGATACGGACTGTCCTGCTGCCAAGTGCCAACCACTGTCTTTTGAGTATTGTTGGTGGTTCACTTGGGCCATGTTAAATTCAATCCATTTCTCTCTTGCAAATATTTTATAAAGGTGCAGTTTTATGTGCATTACAATTTATTTGGGGACAATCAAGTGTGTTGGTTGCCTGACCCAATGTTCAGCCAAAATGACCTTTAAAAAAAAAAAGGAAAAAAAAAAAAAGATTGTTAATGAAAGTATTAACTAAACTAAACAAACATGATTTTCTTAAAATGTAAATTTTACTTTTAGTATCTTTAAGACACTATTATACTTTTTAATTATTGTATTAAAAAGTATTATTTATTTATTGTTAAATATCCCTATATGACATATCATATAGAATATGTCAAATATTAGTCAAGTCTTGATCAAGATGCTGTAACATCATTTTAAATTCAGTTTGGACAGCATTTTCATCCAGTGGTAATTGGGTGAAAATAGGAACTTCCCACACTGAAATTGGTTTAATGTAGGCCTATGTGTAGGCCAGTATGTTTGACGTTCATTTTGAATCAAATCAATGTCATGTCAAGTTTTTGATATCAGTTTGATTTGCATATTTGACCTGTTTTTTGCGTGACGTCAGTGTTTGTTGTCAATTTTATATCTTTTCAACATCAGTTGCCCACTGGAATGTCTGTATAGGTTTTTATTAGTTTTAATTTGTACATCAAGCTAAACTAAATGAAAATGAGAAATGTTGCCTTGGTAACTAGCTGAAATCATTTTTAGAATAATTTTAGTTAACATTTAATTTATATAAAAAAAAATATTTTTTTGTCTTATTTAAGTTAAATATGATAACCATGGCTTGCAGTGTGTATAACCTGCCCCTAAAACTAATAATAATAATTATAATTATTTTTTTTATAATTTTTCTTTTGTTTATGTGTTGAATAGCTTGCCTGAAGCTGCATGATTATCTCTGTATTTCGGGAATATGTCATGATACTGATGTGTGATGTCTGATTTTGAAAGAATGCAAGATGAAAAATGTTTTGCAATGTTACTATCCTTAGATGTTTTGCTCTTTGTATGCTAGTGCAACACAAGTAAGAATAATGCTTTTCTTCATGTTGCTCAGAGTTTTGTCCAATGGTCTGTAGCCCACTGCTTCCATTTACTCTTAAGGTGCATTACAGTACATTGGTCTGCACACAGTTGTGTCCTGTTCTGCTTTCTGAAGGTTTCTTACAATGACGACTATTTTCACAGCCTTAGGCTACCATTACATCAATCATAGAAGTGGCTTTATAAGATAAGTCCAGTCCATGCAGTTCCATTTTTTTTTATGTAGTTTCCTTGTACTCAGGAGCTAGATGTCCTTAGAAAACCCAAATTGTAATTTCCTTTTATTATATTCCTCAAATTGACCCTGTCACCCCTTTATGATTTCTGTAATAGTAAATCTTTATGGTAATAGACTTAATTAGCTAAATGGGCTTTATATTTGCCTACATAGCATCAGTTCTTTCAATCTTTAATGTTTTGTTTGAGGTTTAATGCAACATTGTCAGAAGCCATTCACAGGCCTGTAGGCAGTGAGTGACAAGAAAGAAACACAGTTCACTCCATTAGCAGTATGTCTAAGGACATGACGCAACACTTTTTTCCC